CCCCAATACACTAGAAAGCCCTTGCATTCGTCCTCCATCACTTCTTGGCTGCCCACCGCAAACTCTCGTCTGCAACCATTTTGATTGCAAAGGGATAAAATCATCGCTCCAACCACCAGTAAATGTGGGCTTGATATATTCTATCGGGCCTATTACGTCGGGGTGAGGCTCTAGTTGGGCCTTTTGTTATAGATGGATCCGGGGTGAAAAGGTCACACATGCTCTTTCTGGTATGCGATCGTGCGCTAGCTAAGAATGTGTGCTTCAGCTTAATATATGGTGGGTCGACGTTGTCTTGGCCGGTGGTTAAGCTCCCTAGTCAGGTGCCGGATGAGCTCCTCGGGAGTCAAATGCGAGATCGTGCATCGGGGGATAGTATGTCGATTGCGGGGAAGCACATCGCGTATCTTTATTTGTATGCCGGCTGATGCAAACGTGCAAGCATCATGTTTAGGCGAGGTGGTGTCGAGTGTATGTTAACAAACATATACAGCTTGGCGCACTGGTGTTTTGCCATTGCGTCACGGTACTAATGCATGGTAGCGAATGTCCTCAACGCTGATTGACGGTATCGGATGTATCAAGATCTAAAAGGCTAAAACTGCGATCGCGAATGCGAAGAGGTGGGCAAGTCGTCAATTTTGGCGGTTATGACACCGTCGTCATTGTCACTCATTGCCGCAATGGACTTCCAAGGTTTGTATAACTCATCCGTTCTCAACCGCCGCTAAATCGAGGATTTCATCTATATTGTCTGCTGAAACTTGTGCGCTGTGGTGAAATCTGTGTGTGCATAGCCTGCCGCCTGTACAACGGCCCACAAAGATGACGAAGAAGATCCATCAGGGTAACCCTCCAAATCTCCGATAGATCTGACCGAGGTCTTGGAACACATGAACTAGATATGTTATTCTTGGCGTTCATCAGCTCTTTCCTTAGATGCTTTCACCCGTGTACCCAGTACCATGTCTGTCGAAGATCTAGTCCACCTCTTTTGATAATTGCTTGGCCGCGACATGGACTATTGGTCTGGGCACACAGCGGCCGCCGCCTGGTTCGCACAATCGTTGCCTCCGTGCTGCCAGCATTGACTCTGAACGCCATTGATAGTGAAGAAAGTACTGTAGAAGCACTGCGCCATGTTCTGTGTCGCGTTCTCGCAGCGGTAAAGACAACGTGGGCAGTATCTCGCGTAACTACCGGCTTCTTCCTCACAGATCTCTAAAGGCGTCGTGGGAGTCGGCGTTGGCGTCTGGCTGGTGCTTGTCACAGTCACAAGAGTGCTGGTGGCAGATGACGGTACAGGCTTGCCCAAGTTTCTTTCGATGCAGTAAGAGTTACCCGAAATGACTTTGCAGCCGTCGGCTAGACTTGGGTTCTGTCTCAATGTTAGTATTTGCACAGAGTTTTATGGCATTCGCGCCGTACGTATGCGGTCAACTGCGCATCTGTGAGACCCCAGTATTCACTTATACTGGCGCATGTGTCGGTCTCTGCGGCGACATGCCAGTATGAGCAGTCTGCAACGGTGTCTGGAGCCGCGGTAGTCGGAGGCTCCTCGAGATACGCTGCGCTGAGCAGTGGTAGCAAACCGAGACCGATAGTGAGTGGAGATAGCATGGTGCAAGTATTTCGAGATGTGAGATGCAATATCGGCCGTGAAGATATGAGTAAGAAGAGCAGACGATAGAGTATCTTTATACAATGAGCGCCATGTACCTAGATCTGATGGCGCCAGAACTAGACAGCATGCTGCCTGTGCAGTGCATTAGCCATATACAACATTCCAGGCGTCCATGGGGCCTGATGATCCAGCTCTATGGCAAACGTCGTGCGAAATCCCGCTTCGCAAGGAACCGAGTAAGAACTTGCCGGACGGAGACGCTGGCAGCCTAGACGGGTGGAGAATTTCGCAGGATCTACGGACCCCTTGGACGCCTGATGACCGGCAACGAATCAGAGTCACAACAGCAGAACATTGAAGTAGCGTAGATTTGGAGCTCGGGCTTGCACGGCGACAAGAGTTTGTATGTTGGGGTTTACAAGGCGTAAATTCAGTTGAAGTTGATGATAATCCTTACCATACCAGGCCTGGTCTAATAAGGCGACAGCGCGTCCCGAGGTCCCGTCCGCGGCTTCTTCAAGAATCCACGCCGCACGAAGATGCAACAAAGAAAATCCCAAACCATTTACTGCAGTCGCAAACCCCGCAAGATGTAGTAAACGAACTAACAAATCCCAACCATGCCTCGCGAAAGTTCCATTTGATCATCCCCCTAGACCCTACCCGCACCTACCCGCTTGCCACCACCCCTCCTCCAGACCAGCACCCCCAACCCAAAACTCACGCACCAAAACACCGCGCTCAGAAACGCAAACGCCTGAGCCGCATTCCACCTACTGCACATCCCATTCCTAACCGTCATCTGATTCCACGCCCAGATACTACCACAATCTATACCATTCCTATAATAATCCTGCAGCAAGCCAAAGGCAGCGACCCACGCGCCGCAAAAGATAAGATCACCGACAAAATTGACGATGTGAGACGTGGTGGGAAAGAGCCAGAGGAGGGATGCGATGACCGATATGCCGGCTATCATGACGCTGTAGATGAGGCGGCCGTGGCAGTCGCTGGCGTCCATGTGGCGGTTTTGGTGGAGGAGGATGGATGTGAGGACGAGGACTACGGCTGCGCAGACGAATTGCGCGAACCGGAGGGTGATGGATAGGATGCGGGAGAGGATCATTGCAATGTTGTGTAAATGTAGTGAGTGAGGCTTGCTGACTTGTAGAATGTAGATTGAGGATTGGAGTGATGAGTAGATAGTCGGAGTCGTGGAAGTGAAGAAATATTGTGTCTTGTAGTAGAGATAGATATTTCTTCTTGCTCGCGTCTTGGGGGATGCTTGCTTTATATCTTCAAGTATCCATTTGACAAGCAAACGCGCGCGCAGACAATGAAGCTGCTGTACATGGAGGCATTATGAGTTCTCTTTCTAGTGCGGTTGCTTCCCATCACCTGCCTTTAGACCAACGGCCTCTGTTTGCGCGCTTTGCTACGTGACACCGCCAATCAAAGACGCCTTGTGCATCGTACTTATCGAGCTCCTGACTGCAACCCATCATAAACACCCTTCTCAGCCATGAACCATGCAGGAATAACCTTGGGATCACCATTGGGAAGCACCTGCGAAGCCAGCATACCCGCAACGCCCTTCTCCCTGTCCACCCACCAGAAGCAGTTACACAAGCCCATCCACCACAGCGTATTAGCCCCGCGACCAGACTGACCAGGCTCAATCGTGATGAAACCGCCAAAGCCCCATCCCTGAGGAGGGTTTCCGGGCTGAGGATACATATCCGCTGCTTGGTTAACAAGCAAAGGGTTCGCGGGTGGAACATTAGCACGTGCAAAGTCGGGCTGGGAGGGGATTTGGTTCTCCCACATGAGGTCGACTGTCTCCTTCTTGAGGATGCGTTTCTGGGTTTGTGGGCTCGTTCCGTCGTTCAATAGAGCAGCGAGGATCTTGATGTATTCGCTTGGTCTTGACCAGAGTCCTGCGCCGCCGGATTGGAGGAAGTCCTTTTGCTGTTCTTGGGGGCAGGAAAGAGGGCCGTTGTAGAGATGTTCGCGCTCTTTGAGGGTGCCGTCGGTTTCGCGTTGATGCATATGTGCTAGGTTCTTTTGCGCTTCCTTGGAGGGGAACATGGTCGCGCCTTCTGCGGCAATGCCTACGGGTGTGAAGACATGTTCTTGGAAGTATTCTCCTAGTGTTTGCCCCGTGACGCGCTCGAGAACGATACCGGCCCAGTCCATATTGACCTGCGATTCCGTCAGTACCTGGGACGGGAAGAAGGATTTACGTGCAACTTACTCCATACTCCCACATACTGCCCGGTTGGTTTACCAGCTTCGAATCGAGAATGTCGCGTTTGTCTCCACTGCTCCCTTCGATGCCATCCGCTACAAGCCTCGGATCCGCGAATCGGTATCCAAATCCTGCGGTATGGCTCAGTAGCATTCGTACTGTGATTCCCTTCTCTTGCTCAACACCGTTGACACCATCTGCATAGACCTTCTTCTCCGATAATTCCGGCACGGTATCCTTGATGAATTCAGCATCATCCAACGGTACCTTGCCCTGTTCGACAAGCTGCAGCACAGCAATCGCAGTGACCAGTTTCGTGCAAGAAGCAATCCAAAAGGTGGTGGTCTGAGTGTTCATAGGCTCCTTGGAATCTACACCCAGCATACCTGAAGCATGCTCGACAAGTGTTTTGCCCGATTTGTCGATAGCGTGGAAGGCGAGACCCGGTGAGCCATCTCCAATGAAACTATCTAGTGTGCTCTTAATATCTTCAACAGCTTTAGTGGAGAGAGGCATGATGAGAGCTGTTATGTGGGTGGTCATAGAAGGTTGGTCGTAGAATAGATCAGTCTTATAGAAGTTGCGCTATGTACCGAGGGTATCAATGTCCCGCCTCCAGCATCACACATACTAAGCCGAATCCAGACATCAGTAGTGGAGGTATGTAACTAGTTGTGGTGGACGTAAGCCACCGCCCGAGTACGTTCAGGGGCTACACGGATAGGAAAGACCAATGAAAGGTACCGGACATGAGACAATCGAGCAGGGCGAACATTAAGGACGTGGACTTGTTAATATTGAACCTATGAGTCGCATAACCAGTGATAGTAGAGGTTGCTCGCTCCACCCTACGCTACCCCGCAGCGGGGCATCATTCGGGTCATTCGTACAGTAGTGCACATCCGCCGGACTAATATAGCGTGCCATCAACGTGAGCCTACTGTTGTACTACTAAACAGGACTCATGAAGCGACTGCATGGCTCTCTCTGGATGGTATTGTGGTTCCCTCGGAACATACTTCGAAACATGTGACAATCGTCAGCGATTGATATAACCCGGTGGGAGTTGGGTACCAATATCTCTGGAATCCACAGGGCGTACTAGGGCTAAGACAAGCGACGTGGCTTTCAGCCTCGCTTTAGCACTGCTTTCAGCTCCTTCAAAGCAGCCATGATCAGTGGGACGGCAACTGGCCCTAGTAGGGGTAGGTACACAGCCACCTTGTGTTCGTCAGGGAAGTAGACCTGTCCGACCATGGAGCGCTCGAAGAAAGCTTTTTCGGCCTCCACCTCTGCAGCACGGGCGTGTTCCAGAGCGCTTGCGAAGCGGCCATCTCGAAGGAAGTCGCAGGCTTGCTGTAAATGTGCAATCGTCTCTTGCGTAGACTGGGCAACGTTATCGGGTACTGGGATAGAAGGAAGCTTCTGGTACACTTGAGCTAAGGCTCCCAACGTGGAAGATGCTGAGAAGATAAGGGATGCAGCTCGGACGCGTTCAAGAGTCGAGATGCGAAGTGGCAAAGATGCCGGACTCTGCGGCAGACCGAACAACGAGATGAGCTGATTCGAGAATGTGTGCATCGCTGGTGCGAGCATTTCAGCAGTCAAAGCAGCCGGCGTGTCTGCCTCGCCCTCCAAGTTCAGTATGTGTACACCACCCCATTGCGGAATTAACCAGCTGTTCCCTGCATTCTCCTTGACCAGAAGCGGAGACTGCGTGTGATCCGGTACATACAGAATGAAGTTGACGGTCGGCCCCTCGCCAATGCTGGGACTGAGGGGCCACTCAGCCGCGTTCACGAACCCACTAAGGTCTTCCTTGCGGAGAGTCCATGCCTTTGTAGCTTCATCGTACTCCGGCTGGCGAACAGACGGAGCGAATGTTGCGTAGAGCTGTACTTGCGTATCGACGGTGAAGTTGCTGATGGCTGAGAAGGCGTCAAGAAGAGGGCTCATGTACGTCTGGAGAGCAGTCTCGATGTCCCACTGGGAAGGTGCGTAGGAGGGACTGAATAAGGAGAACGTCAGGTGGTATGTTGGAGCATACTTCAGGGCGCGCGTGGACTGGCGCTGAAGCTCTGCGGACGTTTCTGGAGAAAGCGCCTTAACTTTGGCAGCATGTGCACCAGAAGTAGCCGACAACACGTGCGCCAACTGCGCCTGCTCTTCACCAAATATGTTGTGTAGTTCCTGAGCGAGGAATGTAGCGAGACTCGAGCCAGTCGACGACTGCGATGGAATCTGGTTGGGCGAGTAGTATACGTCTAGCGTTGGCGAATATGGCTGCAGCTGCGACCGTGGCGTTGTGCCTGTCTCGACAGGTATCAGTCGGATGACCAGGGCCACGTCCTTGTCATCGCTCTGGATGCTGATTCCATCGACAATGACTTGTTGCGAGGCGTTTTGCTGCAAGGGAGAATCGGCGAGCATCAGTCGGAGGTGGTGGGCAGAGAAGTCGTTGATATCGTCGAGGGCATGTTGCGTCGTACGGAGGAGATGTTGCGCATCCGTGGAAGGGATCGGGGCCTCTACAGCGATGCGCAGAGGGAAGACTGGCTTACAGACCTGCCGCGGTGTCAGCTGTGTTGTTGACAGGGTACCATACTTTGGAGGGTTCTACCTTGCCCTCAGCCCAGTCCGTCATGTCCTGCAGTGGCAGCTCTGCCCTGTAGATGGCTGTTGTCTTCAGCCATATTGGTAGGCCCAGGAACACCACGACCACCCAAAAGGAGAGGATGGACAGGCGGCGCAGCCATAAGCTCTCTTTCGTCTCGGGCGGAGGCTGCTTAGCCAATGCTGCCGCGGTGGGTGTCGAAGGCGACTGGGCGGACGTCTGCTTCAACTCGGCCGCCAGCGACGCGTCGGAATCATTTGGTGCCGCCATGTTGCGGTTGACTTGTTCCATGCTGTCACTTGGGGCAATGTCGCGCTAACACACGCGTCCGTGCGTCTGGGTCCACCATTCACGCTCACACGAGATATCTCTACTACGTCCCAACCACCTCATCCAAGAAAAAGAGCAAGCGCCCTAGAGCTCGCGTTGACGTCAGATCATCTACTTTGCATGTTCTTATGTTAATGAAGGCTGGAGACTTGTTAGGGTTTTCCGTGTATCAAGTGCAGCCACGCAACTGCGCTATCATTCTAGTCTCATGGGACAGCAGCAGACTGTGTTTCAGTCATGTTCTTTGTTCTCTATCATAAGCTCTCTTCTTTCGAAGGACCTTCGAAAGGTGGAAAGCGTTAATTCAGACATAAAGTCCGCCCTACTGACCTCGGAAGGGTCGGATCCTTGGCTAGGGTCAGATTCAAGGAAACGCGTGGAAGCAAGGCTGACTAGGCTTTAAACAGCGCGTTATTCTGTCAGCTGAGAAGCTTCGTCGATCTGGCCTCTGCCAAAAGGAAGCAGTACATAGGTAGTCAAGCGGGCCCGAGCTACAACGAGCAATTGCGTTTCAACTTACTTTGTATGCTTTCTAGCGTGCGGTCTCCAGGCATATTCCGAGGGCCAGTCAGTTTGCGCAGAATGTCTGAGTTACCTATTTATCATCTTCAAACTCATGTCTCGTGACAGCAACATGTTCCGTGGTTGTGCTTTGTTGATGGTCTGCTCGTGAACGCATGGTCCGTGCGTGACAATATGAGTGAATTCCAATGAAGCTACATTTAGCCCTCACGCTGGATTCCTTGATCAATCACGAATCACCTAGTTTCCAAGTAGCTTCGCACTATTCATCACTCATCTCACAGCTCATCATGGTTGTTTCAGGGACGCATGCGATCGAGACAGGCCAGCAAGGGTCAGCACGCGGGGAGCTTCGATCGACGTTCTTGCCCCGCCGACTAGACTACTTGCAGCGACAAACGGTCCGTGCTAAGCGGGGTTGCATATCTGGGGAAGGAGAGCTACAGACGTGACGCGGTGCTTGGGCACGAGACTATAGTAGCTACCCCTCTCAGCTGAGACAGCTTCGCTCCTTCCTACTACTCTCTCCTCCAACAACTTCATGCTCACTTCAACAACTTACTCAATCCATTCCAACTCACATCCTATTCCAAATCATTCACAATGAGTGCAATCGCTGACAGCACCGATGGCCCTGTCGAGCAGGTCAAGGTGCTGTTTGCCCTCTTCCCGGGCTACAACACGCTCGACGTGGCAGGTCCGCTTGAGGTCCTCAGTCGCTCTCTCCAGGACTCCAAGGACAAGTGTAAGCATAGAAGCTCAGTCAATTGGATGTTTGTTGACACACCACAGCTAGCAAGGCCTTCAACTGCCAGTTCGTCGGCACGGCTGCTGCCATGACGTCCGTCCAGGGTCTCACCATCAAAGCGGACATGGACTACGATGTAAGCATACCCGCGAGAAGCAAGGAACCTACGCTGACATCCATCTCAGGACGCCAACGACGAGCTTGAGGACTTTGACGTCGTCATTGTTCCCGGTGGTGAGGGTGTCTTTGAGGTCCTCAAGAACAAGTCTGAGCCTCTTGGCCTCCTCACCAAGTACGTCGAGCTCCAGGAGAAGAGTCCCAGCAAAGAGCGCACCATCCTCGCCATCGATGTCGGTGCTCTGCTCCTCGCTCAGCAGGGCATGCTCGAGGGCCTTGCCGCTACAACCCACCCAGACTACTACGTCCGTCTCGAGACCATCTGTCAAGATGCGGCTAGACGCGACATGTCGGAGCGTACAGACGTCATGGAGGAGCGATACGTCGTGAACAACGCCCGCTTCGACCTAGGCGAGAACCCCGACGACAACCCGTAAGTGGGACTTGAATTGCGGTGGCATGCAACGCTCACCATTACAGGTACATCATCAAGAAGTCGCGTGAGCCGCCGAGCGCTCCCGAGGGCACCAACATGGGCCATGCTCGTAGGAAGTCGATCGCTCGCAAGGGCAGCAACGCCTGGCGCGACTCTCGCCGCCGCGAGTCCATCGCTCGACGTGCTTCCATGCCCCTGGGTGGTATGCGCGTCATCACCACTGGCGGTGTGACTGCTGGGCTCGATGCCAGTCTATACTTGGTGGGTTCTTTGGCTTCGCACGACTCGGCTCTGGAGGTCGCTCGTGCTATGCAGTATTCTTGGGTCAAGGGCGTTACGGTCGATGCGATCGATGTTTGAGCTACGGCTCCCGCGCGACAAGCGAAGGCGTTTACGAGGAAGGGTTGAACGGAGATCTGAGAAGGTCATCTGGAACATGTCGGGAATCATAGAGATTTACCACGACGAATCATGTGAGGATTCATTCGAGAGTATGTAAAGAATCAAGAATTCTAAAAGAGCTTTTCGGCAGTGTGAGGTGTCGTTGTGAGAGACGGCCGTGCCAGTGCGAAGCTCAAGCGTCTCCACAAGCTCCACAACAGGCGGGCAACCGATCTTCCGCTCTTTACCTCACCGTTTCCCACAGGATCTGCATCGCAATTCGCGCAGCCGTCAGTCTTATTTGCATTGGCATGGTTACAGCCTTCCTCATGACGCGTCTGTCATCTCGAATCAACGATTGCGCGGCGGGACCGGTCTGTCTCGGCCAGCTTTCCACAGCCGTCGCAGCTCGGGAAATCCCATTCACATTACTAATCACAGCGTCCACCACTTCCGTGCATCAAGTGCACACTAACCTTCGCGAACCAGAACTTTACAAAAGTGTAAGACTTTTAAGGTTGTGAGATCACTAACGCATATGCAGTGATAGTCGTCTCATACGGAAGCGTGTGAGCCACTGGACGTCGGCACGCAGTCTCGTCACAGTCATCGACGGACTTTATCCACGGGCGTAGTATGTCGAACCTGGCATCTCAAAGCGTTCAAACGAAGCAAGCTCTGCTCTCCGTCTCGTCGACCTCGACACAGCGCAGTGCAAGCTCGATGTTAGGCCAATCCCTAGAAAAATATGCCGACCACGCTTTCCACATGATCGCTACGGGTCCTTAAACATCATGCTGGCAATTGAAAGCTTTTTCCTTCGATTTCGCTATGTCACAAAGCCCACAGACTCTGTCTAGACGTCGTTCTCAAGCTCACTGTGCCCCGTCTGACTGAGTCTTGGAGAGCTGCCACCAAGAACCCGTCGATCGTCGCTTGCCCACTCAAAGACTCTGACGCTTTGACTGGCTTAGCATCATGGCCGCTCTTTCCAGAGCGAGCTTCTAGCCATAGTCATCCAGTGTCTCAGTATGCCTGAGCTCTTTCAGTACGCTTACATGGTCGTGGGCCTATCATCTCCATCGCCTGCCTGCCATCTAGCTGATTCTGGGCGTGATCCTACGATGATTCAGCAGACAGGCACAGCACGAACTCTTTCTTAGCGCCAAGAATCGCCGAATGTGTAATGCTACCATCAGATCTCGTTCTCCGTTGGGTGAAGCGACGGATTTCCCGCCCCCGCATGAGGTAAGCAGCAACCGAAGCGCTTCGTCCCGAACCAATCGCGGAACATGTGATGTCGAGACTGATGCATGAAGATGGAGCTGTCTTAGCAGCCAAGTCTTTATCATCCAGGTCACTTCGGGATTTTGTCAACTTTCTGCTGCGATCGTCTAGTTGTTGACTTCGCATCTCACCTAAGAAGTCGCCCTGTAAGGACATGCTGCCTTACTCTGAGCTGTTCATCGCTCTCGTCTGGCGTGACTGACACAAGGCCGCGTCGGAATTACAGCTGGAGCCAGTAGGATTGACAGAAACACCATTGCTTACTGGAAGACATTCTGAGTGCCACCCAGGCAGGACGAGCAGAAGGATTACGACTACGTCGCCAAGTAAAGAGCCGTTGCTGAACGACCGGGCCTATCACACGGTCACATACGAAACATACAGGACGCCTATAGACGATATCGACAGGGGTCGTGGACAACAGAGGCTGGAAATTATAGCCAACGGAAAACCATAAATACCCCTCGATTGTCTCTTCTTTCTTCTCAGAATGACAACACGCAACCTAAACGGCAATTGGATTGACACTCTCCGACGGCAATACGTCTACGACCTGAAAGACGACTCTCCCCATCCCATTAAATACCTTCTTTACAACCCCCACAAGAAGCAAGACTTGTACTTTGTTATCCCCAACAAGATCGAAGAGCCGCAACTCAGACGCTCTCTTGTCAAGTACCACCTATCTACCAAGGGTACATCAATCGTCGAGTGGGAGAACGAGCACATCCAAGTCATCTACCACCCTCGATACGCAAAAGAGCTACGCGAAGCCGCCCAATCGACCAACGAAGCAGAAACTCGGGACGAATCACCAACCCCCGAATAGCAAACATGAAGTTCACCCTTGCCACCGCTCTTCTTCTCCTCGCTCCCGCGCTTATCAAAGCCTGGAAATTTGAGGTCTTCGAAGAAGACTGCATCACCTCTACTGACTTCAACGAGGGAGACGACGATGTAGAGTGTGAGGATACGGCGGAACCGCACGGCTGTTTCCGCATCTCCGAAATGGGTAGCTGCGAGATCTTCTTCCATGCCGATGCTGATGAGTGTGAGGATGGTGAGGTTACCATGTCGTACACGGCTACGGACCAGGATCGCGATATTCAGCCTGACTTTGAGTGGAACAACTGGAGCGTTCAGTGCTAAACGCGAAGACGCATTACCATCGTGGTAGATTGAAAGCTGAGGTGTGTTTTGTCCGGTGGACTGTCCAATCGCTAGATACTTTACCTAGGTATTTTCTTGTTTCTTTGAAGTATCGCTGTGATAGCATGCCAATCGTTAGATACATACTACAATCGAATCTGTACAGATCTAGAGTGTTGACGCAAACGTCGCAAAGTCAGTGTGGACGCTGAAAACCACAGGAATGGAGTGTAGACGAAGCCGTCCGATCATTGCCTAGGTGCACTGCAACAGGCGGCAGGCGTTTATTGCTACTCGAGCTACTTTCACTTTTTTGTTTGTTGAGATAGTGAAAGGACTGATGGGTAAACTTCATGCAATCTGCAGAGTATTTGTTCACTTCAACGGCACCTAGACTACGACGACGCTCAAGACCTCAGTGGTATCTTCACGAGCGCTGCGATCAACGGATTTCAGAACCTGCCTAATCGGGACATTTGTCCTCACGCTAGTGGACCCCTGCATGACCAATCACAACCACGAAGTGACAGACCCGCCTAAACTTGCCCTCCCCTGTACGCGTCTTCCCCAACGCAACCGCCGTGTCTTGGCCACGACGAACTAAGGCAAGCCACAGATGTCGCAACACATGGGCGCAATGATTGGACAATGGATGTTCATCACGTCTTCTTCGCGACTGGAGTGTCTTGGCTTCTGCGCGTCTGTTTGTGCATGATGCGTGCGCCCAGCATCAACTTCTCTCGAGGATATAACTATCTCTCCCACATCACGATCACACGCATGAGGTGACCAAAACTACCAATGCCACTTCAATCCCTCATAAGTTCGCTTCGGCGGCGCAGCCATCGCGCCGCTCCTCCTCCAGCGCACTTGCAGGCAAATACCGAGAAGATCCAATGGCGTCTCGTCGAAGTGTTTACTCGCATGTGGGATCTGGGGTTCACTGCCTTTGGAGGGCCGCCTGTGCATTTCCAGATTCTGCATCGGAGGTTTGTGGAGGGAGTGGGATTTCAGGGTGGGAGTAAGTGGTTGGATGAACAGACTGTAAGTATGCGTATGCGTGGTAATGATTTCGATGGTATCAGTACCGATGAATTGGGTTATGAGAAAGAGCTAGGAAATTTACTCGGGGCCGGATGAGAAGACGGAGAGATAAACCACTCCCTCGACTACCTCTACAACAGAATGCCGCGCAACTAACAAAACTCCCCAGTATCAAGAACTCTTCGCAATCTGCCAAGCGCTCCCCGGCCCCGCCTCCACCAAAATGTGCTTCTGTATCGCCCTCCTCCACGCAGGTATCGTCTCCGCCGTCTTCGCCTTCCTCCTCTGGAGTCTCCCCGGCGCAATCGGCATGTACGGTCTCTCACTCGGCGTGCAAAAGATGCCCGAGCGCCTCCCTCCCATCGTGTACGCCCTACTCTCCGGTCTAAACGCCAGTACCGTTGGTATTGTCGCACTAGCTGCTGTTCAGCTAGCAGAGAAAGCCATCAAAGACCGCGTAACACGTATCTTGGTGATTTTCGGTGCGTGTGCGGGGTTGTGTTATAATGCGCTTTGGTTCTTTCCTGTGCTGATTGTTATTGGTGGGCTGACGACGGTGGTGTGGGATGTTTGGCTCGGACGACGCGTGGGTAAGATGAGAGCTGCGTATCTTGCTAAGAGGAGGAGAGCGAGGAATGAACAGGGCGATGCGGAAGAAGTTTCGGCTACCACGCAGACCATACCCATTGAGCTTCAGCGACCGGAAGCCGTGAAGAGGAGGGTTAGGACGGGTAGCTCGACTGATCGTATTGTGCCTGAGCAGGAAGAGGCGGGTCGGAGTCATGCGGGAGAACATCCGGTTGTTGATGATGTGACTTCGACGAATGAGCCTGTGGCTGATGTTAAGACACATAACATCTCGGTCAAGGTCGGCGTGTCGCTCATCGTGGGATTCCTTATCTCATTCATTGTTGTCATGGTTATCCGTGGAACAGTATCCAGCACCCGGTCCTTCGATGTTTTCTCCAACATGTAAGCACCCCCTCTGCCCACCCAGCTCTCCCCCACTAATCTCACACCGCACAGGTATCTAGCCGGCACCATAATCTTCGGCGGCGGCCCCGTAGTAATCCCCCTCCTTCGCTCCTACGTCGTAGACCCAGGCTGGGTATCCCCCCGAGACTTTCTCCTGGGCCTCGCCATCATCCAAGCCTTCCCCGGCCCCAACTTCAACTTTGCGGTTTACCTCGGCGCTTTGGCCATCGCCTCAGCTCCTGCTTCTACACCGACCATCGTGGGCGCTCTCCTTGGCTTCGTCGGCATCTTTTTCCCTGGTATTGTGCTGGCGGTTGGTGTGCAGTCTATCTGGCAGGTTATGCGCACCAAGGCTTGGGTGGCTAGTTTGCTAAGAGGTATCAACGCGACTGCTGTGGGACTGGTGTTCACGGCTGTGTACAGGCTCTGGGAGATTGGTTATCTGACGCCGGAGAGCAGTGATGGGAGGAGTTTGGCAGATGAGCCGTGGTGGGTGGTTGTCGCTGCTTTGGCATATGCGGAGACGGCTTGGTTTGGTGTGCCACCTGCGGTTGCGATTATCATCGGTGCCGTCTTGGGGCTGGGGTGGTATGGGGCTGTTGGTCAGTGGTAGACTGATCTATCAGGATTGCACACGAATCGCCGCTTTGCGAAATGACGTAGGGCAAGATATGTATATGTGTTGTTTGGATTATCTATTGTACAAATGCTAGATGATAATCATACCAAAGGGAATGATTAGGGGAGATGCAACCCGATAAAAGGACCTCGACCCGCCAGCAAGAACAATAACCTAAGAAATGCCGGCCCCAAAATCGGGGCGAAAACAGACACCGGCGAGCAGTCCAGTGTTGTATACCCTCAGCACCGAAGCCTTGACCATCTAATAACCAATGAACTCGGCCGGAACGCCATAGCATGCCAGTTAGAACTCCAAAGGAAAACAATAGTAACACAAAAAGACATCATGATCTCCACCATGGCCTGAGTCACGCCACTAAACGACCATCATATCGCCTAGTTGTAGTATCCCCCATTCGGCGCACTCGTGGAGGTGTTCGGGTCGTTGATCTTTCCGCCTCCATTGTGAATGACTGGCGGGTTCTTGTACGATTTGCTGCGTGACGAGCTACCGGAGTTTGTGTATAGGCTCGATGAGGCGGCAGAGTAGGCTGCGACATTGTTAGAGTCATGCCTTTGAGGTGATCTGATAGGAGTTGACAACTTACATGTGGATGATGTCGAAGGACGGGATGCGTAGGCACCCTTGCTTTGGCCGTAGGAGCCGTAAGACGAGCTGGACGACATGGTTGATTGGTGTTGAGTGTGTTGGAGGCGTTTGGATGCCAGTTGTGATTCGAGAAAATCAGATGAGTGATCGGCGTGTGTTGTGTGATAGACGGTAATAGAGTTGTATCGGGTGTATACGAGACGACAAGGGCGTTTCGTGATGATAATCCGAGATAGACTGTTGACTGAAGAGCAACACGAGGACAACTGTGACTCTTCTCGAAAGATGCTTGATATGACTGTAGATAATTGATCGATTGACTGATGAAGAGAAGAAAGAAAGCAACCACCTACCTCAACCCGCAACTATTTATTCCAGGCAGACAACACCTGAGGCCGCCAACCTAGGAAGACTCACCACTCGCAACGTTGACTGTTCTTTGTCGCCATCGGAGTTCTCCTAACGCTCAATGTAACGCCGTTGCCTGAATAGCTGGGCTAGGCGCGTGGTCGAGGTGAATGACTGCGCGATTGCGATGATTCACACGCGTGGCTATGTTCACCTCGGGACAAGTCCTGAGGCAGGACACGCGTGTGCGCGAATCAGCGATTAGGCTGCACTTCCCGTTCACCATTTGCATGCCAAGAAGAAGAGTCATCATCGGCGGGTGCGGATTTACCGAAGGAACCAGTTCAATCGGTGTCGACTAAGGTCGGGTCACGGCTAGAAAGGGTCGAGGTGGTGACTCGCATGGCGCAAAGGGCGTACGCGTTGCAGCCATCTTCTCCTGCAAGGCACATCAAGCGAATCGAACCTATGAAAAGGCAGCAGGAAATCTGTCAGAGACGCGTTATCCAGTGACGTGCCTGACACCCCAGGCGACAGCGGTACCCAAAGTGGATAATGACAAAGCGGACAGGACTGGTGAACGAGAAAGTCACCGGTTAACCGAAAGAAGATGGGGTGTGGGGGCTGGAGGCAATGTAGGTGCCTGGAGCTATTGCAGGCAGCATTGCAAAGCATTCACCGTGATGCAACGGCAAAAGAGCTCATCGGCGGCGTCCGATAATGAAGATAGGGGCATGGAATGTGAAAAAGGGCAGAAATGTCAAGGCAAAAGGCGGTGTTGTGGAGTAGGGTAGGAGGCGCAGTGGAAGGGTCCTGGTGCATGGCGGGGTTGTTGCATCAATCCGAGCAAGGCTGTTGCGAGGCTGCACGCGATTCACGTGGGTGTTCATTCCGCACTGACTCAGAGCAGGTAGTTGTGGCGACTGCGCGGCTCTGGATTGCGCAACTGCGCATATGGTCCAGGTGTTTGCCAGCGCATAGCCGGTGAACCGCTGGAGAATCCAGGACCGAACTTCTCGCCAACTACGCTGCGCATGCGCAGTAAGGTGGGCCGAGGGACATTGTTAATTTCCAGTATGCCAACGCAGAGCCGGTGAACCGTCGGAGGCATAGCATCTTCAACGTTTGACTTGGGCTGCTTATCGAGCCCGGCATACATGGGCAGCCAATGAGTCAAGATCGTCATCAATTGGTATCGAATGCATTGGGTATCGCTATATCCGCTCCCTGAACCTCCACGTCTAATCGTACAATCTCAGAGCACCATTCAGATCACCAGCAACCACCTTGCTCGACTCCCTCGGATGCCACTGTACTGACAGTACAGGCGCATCGCTCGCTGGAATCTTATGGTACATCTTGCACGTCTTCCAGTCCCAGAAGCACAAGAAACCTCCACTGT